TTGTTTGCTTACGTTAAACAAGGATGAAACGATTCACTGTGTTACACTGTGTTTGATTGTGTCCTTGCTGGAAAGCACCCTGTGTCGGTTTGTGTCTCCTAAAAGGAAAGCAGCCTTAATCACATGACCATTGCGATTGGTCAATTATTTCTTCATCCGAGGTCTTGGACCGATTTCGAGCTGGATACAAGGATCGTGGATACAAGGCTTAAATGCTCCTTTACTCGATCCATCGAATATAGACTCGAGTATCGATATCAGCAACTGCACTGTTTACAATTCATGGTGGAATTAAACATGAATGGTAGTATTAATTCCACCATGTTTACAATTGTTATCGGGAAAACGTAATTTAACTATCACATCTGATTGTCACGCTTGAGCAGCAGCTGTTTTCGGACCGGACCGAATCCTGGAGTGATGATGGTATTGGAAGTAACCTTCTCTCACCGGTGCCGACGGCAATCGCGCGATCGTCGCGCGCAACGGAACGCGGTGTGATCCGACCGTTTGGATTTTTCGCGCTAAATCACTCGTTTTAAGACTCGCGCGCGAGGCCGTCGCAAAACCTGCGATGTTTTACCTGCCGTAGACGGTCGCAACATGTTCGTGACGAACCTGAAGAAGGATTTCTACGATGTGATACAAAGAAGCGTGAGTCGACGTTTCATTCTGCCTCACGGCGGTATATTGCGTGTCCGTTATAAATAGGTTACCCGCAATCTGCTTGCACCGTCTCTCTTCTCGAGCCTCCTCGGTTGCCATCTCTGCTTTTCTGCAACGTTCCAATCGCTAGTCAGGCTTTTTCATTCTTCCTTTCTGTATAAATTATGCAGTTACATAATTTTTCCTTTTCTTTGAATGGTTGGAGACATGGATTGCATAGAAGTCTCTAATCATTTCTTTGTCTTTTTTATTAACAATAAATGTGTTTATTAATAATAAACATAGTATGTATTGTTTCTTATGCTTAATGTTGCTTCATAACAAATAATTTTTTAAATTAAGTTTATACTTTAATTCATAATTTTACATCATTCTCTCTCTTTCCTTTGGATAAATAGAAAATCATGTCATATATATGTCTGATTCGTATTTTCTATTATCTATGTACACATATATATATATATATATATATATTTATATATAACAGTAATAAATATAAATAAATCTAACATAAATTATATATCTGTTTCTTATACACTTCAATAAATAATTCTTCATTAAATCTATAACTGCATTGATAATTAAAGACTTTCTTTTGGATACAAAATTTCATACATGTCTGATTCCTTTCTTTCTTTATAATAATAGAAGTATCTTAATAATAAAATTTCTTTTTAATAGTGGATATAAATTATATGTATATATTTATGTATTTATTTATTGTATGCTTTACAATAAATAATTTTTCATTAAATTATATTCTCTGTAGTTTGATATAGTTCTATCTTTCCATCAGATAAGTAAAAAGCAGGGTTGGCAGGTTCACTTTTTTTTTTATCTAAGTTAAGTTAAAGAACAGCCTTGAAAATTTAACTTAGTTAAGATACAAGTTAATCCATAATGAAATTAATTGAATTAGAAGTTACGTTAATAAAAAACTGAAAAGTTAACAATTAAATTTGACTGTTTTACATTTTTCTTATTTTTTTCACACATATTCATTAAAAAATAACCGTTACGACTAACGATTATACAATATAAAAGACAAAATTACTAATTATACTCATTATCCCCTCGCATTGTATCTGAGGGTTAACTTAAAAAAAAAAGTTAAATTAAAAATTAATAGTTACCGATAAAATGTAACAAAATTAAGTTAAATAATTAAGAATTTAAAATCTAACTAATTAATTAACTTTTTAATATTCAACTTTTAATTTTTTAATTTAGTGCTATCCAACCTTGGTAAAACCATGCATGTACGATTCTTTTGTTTTTTATTAATAATGAATATAATGCAAACAATACATCTGTTTTTATACACTTTATGACGAATAATTTTTTATTAAATTTATATTTATGTACTTATATATAAAACTTATATTTTTGTTTAATAATTAGAAAATTACCTTATGTTTGATTTCTTTATTTTTCATTAATAATAAACGATATAAATAGCATATTGTTATATGCTTTATAATGAATAATTCTTTGTGAAATTAATATTCACGTTTTTAAGGTTTAAAAATATAGTATTCAAATATTTTATTTAAATAATTCTGTGTGTTATAGAGAAATCTTTAATTTCTTTTTTTGCAGAGGTGTTTACTTTTAGTGAACTTTGATGTTGATGCAATCTGTGCCTGTAGAATATTGCAACAACTTTTAAAAAATGATCATATGATATATACTCTTGTATCTGTTCGAGGTATTCAGGATATGATAAATGCTTTTGATGAAAATTGTGAAGAGGTAGTTATGGAAGGATTATCTATAGTCATTATCACATTAACAATAATAATTAATTTAAGAAAAATTTCAGATAAAAAATGTTGTTATGATAAACTGTGGTGGTACTCTAGATTTAGTGGAATTACTTCAACCAGACGAATCTGTGGTATTTTTTATTCTCGACAGTCATAGACCTTATGATTTAACTAATATATATTCAGAAAATCAAATACGTATTCTTAATAAACCTGACGAAGACAATGAGATTCCAGAATATAACGATATATATCGAGATGATAGTGTATGTAACAAATCGTTTCATTTAGTCTAATTCTCTTTTTCTATTTTCTATACTTTTGTTCAATCATATTCAGTCAGATGAAGAGGAGGCAAATGATGAATCAGATGATGAAACTGAAGGCAGGCATAGTAAAAGGCGAAGGTTGAATGAAGAAGATATATTAAAGCGAAGCGAACGAAGAAAATGGGTTGAAAACAGAGAAACAGTTCTTTTTAATTATTCACAATACAGTTACTATGGCAAATCAGTATGCATTATAATTTATGACCTCAATAACAATATATAATAATATTCTATTTCAAAAACTTGTTTTGTTTTATTACAGAGCGCAATAGTGGTATTTGAAATAGCTTGGAATATGTCAAAGGATAATTTAGACATGGCATGGTGGGCCATAATTGGTTCCACAGAACAATCTATCCTCAGCAAGGTGGAGTCACGAATAACCGTTCTTGAGGAAGGTTCTCTTCAGGCACATGTTTCAAGATTAACACACAGACAAGGAGTTGATATTGACAAGCAACAGCAGCAACAGAGTATTGTTAAGGTTACTTACGATAAAGAGTATCCTTTTATATATATATATATATATATATATAATTCATTTTTTACTAAATAATTGAATTTGACATATGTACTATATTAATTTCTTAATAATAACAAATAGTCTGCAATTAGCATTATATCGTCACTGGACTGTTGAAGCCAGCTTGAAATATTCAATGCCAACTGCAGTGTCATTACGTTTATGGTCTATTAGAGGGGAACAGCGTTTGAAGGAAGTTTTAGCTGAAATGGGATTACCTCTGGTGCAATCCAAACAATTATTTCGTGCAATGGATCTTACTTTTAGACAAGAATTTAAGCAGATGGTTGAAAAATTAGCTGGCAAATATAATGTCAATAGCATCATTGGCACTAGTTTTACTCTTCAATATGGTTATCGTTTTAAATATTGTGCATCAGATATGGTATATGCTATGTTGGCTTTGCTGGATTCGACGGTAAGTCAGCAGTCATTAAATATGGTATGTTATAATACTTTTTTAAATATATACTTTTACAGACAAAGGACAGACAACCACAACGTTGTTTCTTAGACGCGCTAGACTGTTTATCACGTACAAAAAAGGATGTTTTAGAAAGTGGCATTGAAAAAGCAAAGCTTATGCTTCATAACATCTTTAAAACTGCACAGAATATATTAGAAGCTAAACAAGTAAAGAATTTTGGTTCCTTTTTATATATCAATGTGCCGGATGGGAATGTAGATAATTATTTATTTGCACATCCTCATCCTTTGATTATGCTGGCTCAGTTTGCTCTCAAAGCATATGTAAATTCTTCAAGAAATAGACGCGCTTCTGAGTGGCCTCTTGTGGCCTCTGCGATATTTGACGCAGAGGAAGGATCGTGCCTTCTTGTTGGTATACCGCCAGTTTGTGAAGATCAACCCAGAAGGTAATATTTATAAGTGTATACAAAATGTAAGATTTATATTATTTAACCATGATTTTTTTGTTACAGTTTATTTGGGAAAGCATTCGAGCAAACTGCAAAGAATAAAAATTGTTACATTGAGGCAGACTACTTTGATAGTACAAGTAAATATGAAATGGAATTTTATGAGCTACATAAGTCAGAATGAAATTTATTATAGTGAATATTTTTCCTTTTTACAGTAATAAGACTGAAAATCGAGGAAAGACCCAAGTTTCTCGATGCTTTAGCAGCACTTCTTGCGTAATAATTATCATAGATGTATAATTATCAGAGACGGACAATATGACAACCACACTTTAATCAAATTTTTAACTAACACGACTATTGAAACAACTCGAAGCACTTTATTGCTCATGACATATGGTGCCTTTTTTTTTAAACGCAAATTTATTGTACATTTTTTAACCAGCGACGGTAGTAGCTTTATAATTGTAAAATATTTAATATATAAATTAGGACTGATATGTGATTTAATAACATCATATGAGTATAATGTATGTTGTATAAAAAATGCTAGGATACAACAAGTGATAAATAAGAAAAAGATTTCAATAATATTTGCATTAGTACTTTAAGAAATATGATACTTTTATAAAAAAAGAACTTGACAGAGAAACTGGAAAAAACGCAGATATAAATAAAGTCGTTTGCTACATCGGACAATTGATATGATGCTCATCATTACCTACATGTTAAATTTATACAAGATAAATATGTAGTTATACAAATATTGTGTAAAATATTTAAATACCGACAATGATGTTGCTCATATATATAAGCTACGTAACAATGAATAGGCTATCTCATAAATACAAGAACTTCCAGTGCGCTTATCCGGTATTTATTTAGTAATTTATAATATATTAATGTATCCATGTGCATCTACGTACACTTAAAAATACAATTTGATCGACTTAGTTTTGACTGATATAATACATATTCTTTTATTTCATCCGCGAAGAATCGTATAAGAACAAGATTGCGTTAGGAAATTTTACCTGGGTGCACCTATATTCTTTATTTTTGTTCAATATTCGGTTAACAAGGACAAAATGATATACAAGTGCACTCCGAACGCAGCCCAAGTACAGCCTATATACGCGAATCTCTATATGTAAAGAACAATGATATCACAGAGACAGGAATAAAAAAGAAAGAGAGGGACATTTTTTTGTTTGAACAGCTCTTATAAAATTTGTCAAATACAAATTTTGTGTGTACCTAATTAACGTTTTATATGACTTTAGGCCGGCATACGTTCGTTTGTTTTTGATGTTTTATGCACTGCCGCTATTTTATTTATCGGCAGTTTGTTATTGAGAAATCCATCGACGAACTGTTGTACAGAGTCCACAGTAATCTCGGCACCGTATTCCATTACGACGTACAACCCTCGCGGAATATCGATAGCGGTTAAAAGAGGTACTGCATCATCCAAACCAATGAATTCACGAAGAATGTCCGATGTTTCACACTACGTTAAAAATCATTAATTATAATTATATCAATTTCCTATTAAATGTAATTAATTAAAAAATAAATATTTCATATTTAAGAAATATTTGCAGTTTTAGTATATTTATATTTTGTAATTTTAAAACTTTTTTATTCTCATAAATATTCGAAAAAATCATATAAAATCATATAAAAATTGTATTAATTAATTATTATATTACAATAAATATTTATTTAATTTATATGTCATTTCCTATGTCTATAGATATTCTATATGTATGTATACTTACGTCTAAAGCTATGTAAAACTGCAAAGAATCGTCTTCAGGATCATCATAATTTAGATCATAATCGGGTTGATCTCTTCTATACGCTTGTGCAGCTGGTAGTAATACGCTTTCTCCAAATTGAATCTCACAGTCTTCTCCCTCTGTAAAACAGAAGAGCATTAAACAACTACTTAGTATTTTATTCTGATTCTCACTCTCTATTTCTCAATACAAAAAATTATATATATTTACATATACTATATATATTTATATATAATTCAGGGATGGGAAAATTACTTTGTAAAAGTTACAAAAGCTACAAAAGTAATTAATTACAGTTACAGTTTTTCTCTTTCAAAAAGTAATTAATTACCGTTACAAGTTATTGACTCTGAAAAGTAATTCGTTACAGTTACAGTTACTGAAAAAGTAACTTTAAGTTATTTTTAAGTTACTTTTTTCATCGAAATTTTTACTAGTAGTATCGATATCATTAGGGCTGTATTCAGAAACATTATCCAACTATCTTCGTGTATCGTTTTACCCTTGTTTTTCATCTAATATTAAACAAGGATGATACACGGGGTCATCAGAGTAATGCAGCCTAGGACAATTAAAAAAAAAGACTGGCTTACATTTACATGTTATACAATTATTCAAAAAGATAAAAAAATTGTATGGCGAAGACGTTTTTCGTTAAAGTAATATAAACACATGTGAATATGAATATGAATATGAAATAGCACACATACAATATTTTTTGTAAAAAAAATTCTTTTTATATTCGGCTATAAAAGTTGCAAATAAATTCCAACACTAATCCAAACTAGTGTACAACCGTTCACGGAGCGCTCTTTCATTTGATTGGTGGATTCCATTAAATCCCAAAATATAGACCAAACAGGTACAATAGATATTTTAAACTTATTTGTCAATTTAGTGTGCAGTAGTGTCCACTTGGCAAATAAGTTTAAGATATATAAAATAAGTTTAAAGTATATAAAATATGAAAGTAACTATTAAATTAGTTACTAGTTACTTAAAAGATATAACTAAATTAAGTTATAGTTACAGATGGAAAGAAAGTAACGAAGTTAAGTTACTGAAAAAAAGTAACTCTAACTGTAACTTCGTTACAAGTAACGAGTTACTTCCCTGATATAATTATATATTTACATATTTTATTTATATCATCTTACCGACAAATAAGATAATAGCTGGAGCATCGTGTAACGACGTAGCATACTTTTCTGTTAAAATATTCACTAATCTACTGCTCCAAGGAAAATTCTGAAAATGTAAATAGTTTTTATAATATTAATAAAATTATTCTGCAATAATAAAAACCTCAAAAAGTATTTTATAGACATTTATACTTAGATATACTTTTATAATTTATTTTATTCGTATCTTTTTACTATTATATCTTTTATAATTAATTTTTTAATTTTTTTTTCAAATTACCAGTCCCTCTGGATCCTCAATTAACTCGGCGCGCCCATCCAAAGTAATTATATTGTCGCGAGGATCTAGAATAACCAGAGTAGGTATTGCCTGAACGTCGAAGGCTCTTGCCAATTTTCGACGTCTTTCTTCTTGATTAAAAGGTATCCTCAACCAAGGCATTGTTTCCGTGTATGCATTGTAGGAATCCTCGCTCCTAGAATAGAAACATATTGAAATCTTTTACAAACAAAAATATGCGATGAAAGTAAAAAGAACAAATATAACTATATATATATAAAAAAAATATTCATTAAATGAGAGGAACAAAAATATCTCTGAATGAAATGCAATAATTTAAAAAGTGTATTATAAAAGCTTACCTGTCCGAACTCACGAAAATTACTTCAAAATCATGGCCTCTCTCTTGAATTCGTTGGTAGGTATCCACGAGTTGTGGGGTAAATGCTTTACAAGGCGGACACTAAATTTAAAAAACCCAATGTATTAATAATATAATTCAAACGCGTAACATAAGCATTTGTAATTAGAAATACATATAATCAAGTATTCAAATAACTCAGAGTGAATAAAAAGTATCTTAGAAAACATTTTACATTCTTCTGTAATCAGAAGAATATAGGATTATTTGAATAGTCAAGCTAATTAAAAAATTAGCATTCCGTTTTGTAAGAATTAACAAATTATAAACAGCTTCGGGGATTATATTTCTCTTGAAACGGATATATATATGTACACACACACACACACACTCAAACACACACACACACACACACATACCGGGTGTCTGAGACCATCCGTACACCCTTTTTATCTCGGAAAGAGAGTATTTTAGAAAAGAACTTTTCAGATAAAAGTTGTATGGTTTCGAGGTGTACATAAAATAATGTCATTGGTTTGACCTTGAATAGTCGTTTGAAAATCATATATGAAGGCTACATTGATTTCATCCAAATAGTACACCCTATTTTTCACTCCATATTCTTGTAGCTTACTTCAAAAGTTTTCCAAAATATTATAATCAAATATTTTTTTATTAAAAACTTTATGAAGAACAAAAAATTCGCATATATGAGCGCAGGTGGGATCAGATTTACAGATCACGAGTCAATCGCCCCGAGCGGTAAGCCACTCGACGACCCTGCATGTATTATATATATATATATATATATATATTTACAGGGTGTTTCTGAAACGCCCACTAATCATATAGTGCTATTCTTAATAAAAAACTGAACTGAAAAGTCCTCTACCATTTTGCGATTTTCGCAATATTTTTCTTTAGTTATCCACTGAGCATAATATCTAAAATTGACATATAAAACAACTTTTAAGATATCTTTAAGAGTTCTTTAAGAAACATTTTCAAAATGTTTCACAAAGAACACTAAAAGAATATCTTAAAATTGTCTTATACATTGATTTTATCCGTTTATTCGGCAACCTTTAGAAATTAATATCTTGTTAACTATTGCGAAAATTGCAAAATGGTATAGGACTTTTCGATTCAGTTTTCTGTTAAGAATAGCACTATGTGATTAGTGGGCGTTATTTCAGAAATACTCTGTATATGTCAACTAAAATTTTCGCAGGAAGCGATGAAACATTTTTAACATTCACTCGGGTATCGTAGCTCACCCAATGTGCACTGAAGTAAATCCCCTTGAAACAGTGGCGAAGCTCCTCGTGTAACATAGGTTCATTACTGTCGCGTGCGCCGCACGACAGAAGAGGTCCATCCTCAAGAGCAGCTTTCGGATGTGGAGGTCTCCAAGGGAATTCCGCACCGGTAGGATCGGCGATAGTTCGTTCAACTCCTCCCCTTGTCACAATGGACCCATTGGACGCTTCCAGTAAAATCAACGTCGGTACGCCCGCCTTTATCCGATATCTTCGAGTCAATCTGGTCTGAAAAAGATTAATATATTACGAATAACGGTCGGATGGCAGTGATAAAACATTAATTACAAAATTGAAACCTTCTCGGAAGGCCTGATTACATAATAGTCCTTATCATATAAATTAAGACCATAAGACAAACCGGAATTGCGATAAAATATTCGGAAATTTCGTTTCTCTTTTAAACGATATATTACGCTTTTACGTTCAGTGGGACTTGTCAGACGTTTAATTATAATGTTTCCTTTTCATTTCGCGCGATTGAAATATATAGGGTGGGGAAAAAGTACCGGGACACCTGAATATCATAGAAAATATAAGT